CTGGCACGGGCTGGTACGAGGCACGGAGAATCAGCCCAGGACTCTGCGGCCTGAGGCCTGGCTGGAGGGGGAGGGGGCACCTTGCCCTCCTGAGCGCCTCTCCGAGTCCACCGCTCGGCGACACGATGAGGGGGCACTGAGGTCTGGGGAGGCTAAGGGACGCGGGGTCAACCCCTTCTCACCAAGTCCCCAGTAGGTCGTCAGGTGGTGACATGGAAAAGGAAAATGACTTAGCCAGTTACTCCTGCCCTGGAAGGACTGGGGACAGCTGAGAAAAACACGGATGAGAGAGACGAGGAAATGCCAGCCGCCCGCCGCCCGCCAGCGGACACTCCAGTTCTCATGTCACTCTTTCGCTCGAGATCCCTCTGGCTCCCCAGTGCCCTCAGCCGGCGTCCGGGCCCCTCTCCCAGCTCCTCAGTGTGGAAGGCTCCCCGCCCCCCGGGCCCTGCCATGCACAAATGTCGCTTTATCTATGTCTCCTACCTGCGAGGAGCAACGTGGAATCACCTGGAACAACACCTCTTCTCGTTCCTACCGGATAGAATCCTTCCCGTCTTCCCACGCCCACCCACAAAAACCCCGTCCTCCGTGAAGCCCCTCGGTCCTCTCGCAGAGCTCCGAGGTGCCACAGCAAGGGGTCCTGAGCCCCCGCCACCAGCAGGCGCGCCTCAGGGGCCCGTCGCCTCCTCGCTTAGGGAAAACTGCTCGCCGCTTGCCCGCCGGCGGCGAAGCGAGGACTGGTCCCGAGGCTCGGGGAGGATTTGGCATCGGGCCTCGGGTTCCGCGTGAGTCCATCTCTGAGCCTGGGCCTCTGCAGCGCGCATAAGGTACCTACTGGCCCGTGGGACCCGGGGACTCAGCGGGAACGAAACGAAGATCCCTGCCGCCAGCTGCATGTATTCTGGACGACGGAAAATGCACAAACACACCTTTGAACTACGTCCGGCAAAAGCAGAGTGGCCAAGTGACAGGACTCAGGGCAGGGAGGACGCGCCATCTCACGACCTTCGGCTGGTCGGGGAGGCTCTCCTGGGTGGTCACATCTGAATAGAGACCTGGAGAAAATGAGGGAGCGAGCCTGCGGACATTCGCTGGGAACGTGGTCCAGGCAGAGGGAACCACAGTGCAAACGTCCGGGGCAGGCGTGCGCTGCGTGTGCTGCGTGTGCTGTGTGTGCTGTGTTCTATGTGTACTCTGTGTTCTTTGTGTGCTGCATGTTCTGCGTGTGCTGCGTGTGCTGTGTGCTGCGTGTGCTGCGTGTGTTCTGCGTGTGCTGCGTGTTCTGCGTGTACTGTGTGTGCTGTGCGTGCTGCGTGTTCTGCGTGTACTGCGTGTGCTGTGCGTGCTGCGTGTGCTCTGTGTGCTGTGTGTTCTGCGTGTGCTCCGTGTTCTGCGTGTGCTGCGTGTTCTGCGTGTTCTGTGTGTGCTGCATGTGCTGCGTGTGTTCTGTGTGTGCTGTGTGATGCGTGTGCTGCGTGTTCTGCGTGTGCTGAGTGTTCTGTGTGTGTTCTGCGTGTGCTGCGTGTGCTCCGCGTGCTGTGTGTGCTGCTTGTTCTGCGTGTGCTGCGTGTGCTGCGTGTGCTGCGTGTGCTGAGTGTGCTGCGTGTGCTGCGTGTGCGTGGGCACCGGGGCTGTCCCTCGAGCTTGAGTGAGCAGGAGCAGGGGCAGTGAGAGACGAGGTGGGGCCCGTCGTGCCCTGTGTCACGAGCCATCGCAGGGACCTGGGCTTCTGCGCCGAGCCTGCGGGAAGGCTCTGGAGGGTCTGGAGCAGAGGAGGACCACGCTGCTGAAGGCCCCCCTGCTGCCACGGGAGACCAGGCAGGAACTGATGCCACAGTCCAGACGGGCGGTGGCAGTCACAGTGCACTGGATTCCAGATGTAGTTTAAAGATGCAGCTGACAGGATTTGCTGACGGGATGAACATGTGGCACAAGAGGAAAGAAGGCTGGTCGGCAGCGGAGACGGGGGACAGTCTGGGCAGAGCAGACTCGGGCGTGGGCACCTGGGCTGTCCCTCGAGCTTGAGTGAGCAGGAGCAGGGGCAGTGAGAGACGAGGTGGGGCCCGTCGTGCCCTGTGTCACGAGCCATCGCAGGGACCTGGGCTTCTGCGCCGAGCCTGCGGGAAGGCTCTGGAGGGTCTGGAGCAGAGGAGGACCACGCTGCTGAAGGCCCCCCTGCTGCCACGGGAGACCAGGCAGGAACTGATGCCACAGTCCAGACGGGCGGTGGCAGTCACGGTGCACTGGATTCCAGACGTAGTTTAAAGATGCAGCTGACAGGATTTGGTGACGGGATGAACATGTGGCATAAGAGGAAAGAAGGCTGGTCGGCAGCAGAGACGGGGGACAGTCTGGGCAGAGCAGACTCGGGGGTGGGTAGACTCAGGATATCAGTTCTGGACAAGTTAACTCTGAGATGCCATGAGGCCACCAAACGAGTGGCATTCGTTCTAGAGTTAAGGGCAAAGGAATGGGCTGAATCGTAAGCCCGGGAGTCACCAGCACGTGGACAGTGCTTAAAGCCATGAGCCTGGACGGAGCCTCTCAGGACGAAGTGGAGACAGAGAAGAGTTGAGTCCAGGGATTCACCATCTGTAGGGGTCAGGGAAAGGAGGAAGAGTCAGCAGCATAGGCTGAGAAGGACCAGAGCTGCATGTTAGCAGGGGAACCGTCGGGGTTCCATCTTCAGACATGACCTGAAATATATAAAGAAAAGTCATTCACAACTCTAAATTTACTGGAAACCACCAAACTATGTTCTTTAAATGGGTGAGTCTTGTGGTGTGTGAATTCTCTGTCAATAAAGCTGCTAAAAAAGAAAAAAAAAAAGGACATTCGCTGTGGCATTATTTATAATATAAAACTGAGACTTAGTGAAATGTCCAGAGCGGGAGGGTTAAGTGAAGTGTTGAATAAACACTTGGCCACGGAAAAAGTACGTTCATATAACAAACGTCCTTTATAAAACGTGTGATCTTAAGAACCAACGTGAACAAGATAATCTTGCCCATAGAAAGTGAGCAAAGGAGACAGAAACATTCGCACCTGAAGAAATGGAAATAATCAATACACATTGATGGAAAAAATTTTTTCAACTTCTCTCCAAAGAAATGTCACTTGAAATGATCATGAAAAATCACTGTTCTATCAAGTTGGTGAAGATCAACTCCGAGAAGAGAAGCTTGTGGCATTGGGAGGCGTGTGAGTGTGTGTGTGAGTGTGTGTGAGTGTGTGTGAGCCGTGCCGCAGAGAGGGTGACAGGAGCGGCTTTCTCAGAGGACGCTTGGCGATGTTATTAATGGACTTTATTCCCTGTATCCCTTTGACTCAGCCTGGCCCCTTCTTGGAATTTATGTCACAGAAATTCCCAGAGATGTGCACGGATGTACATTTCAGGAAGTGTCGTTTGTACCAGCCGGCAGAAAATTGTAAATGTAGGCATATATTTGAAAACGGAAAATAAATGCTCGAAGCCTCCGGCCACCACGTCACGGCGGTCACCGCTGAGCCGATGACAATTCTTGTTCGTGCTCCTTTCCTACGCTCTCCGTAATAACAAAGCGTTCCATGAGACAGACAGAAGAGCCAGTTATTTTAAAGAATGAACTTTCGAACTGTGAAATAACAGAGGGAAATGCTCGTGCCTGTGACTGTGAAAAGCGGCATCGACACCTAAGCCTCGGGTGTCCTGTGTGTACGCTCAGGAAAAGCGTCTGGAAGGAAATCAATTCATCACGGGTCGCCTCTGGGCTATTGAAAAGGGATGACATTTTCCCCCCAGTTTTACTACACAGTACGTGTTATATTCTATCAACAACAAAATAAAAAACTTTTAAAAAAAATAATCACGTGTGGCCTGCTGAGCGCCAGCTTGTGTCCTGAGTGTCATGTGAGGCGACCACGTGTGCGGATGCACCAGCTCCGCCGCATGACCGCTTGCAGCAGTTTTTGCGGGTTTCCTTATCCCCTCGGCCCTCCTCAGGAACGGGGACCTCGCCTGCCAGCCCCAGTGCCCCCACCCCTGGCCCGGCGTCCCCACGCCCCGTAATCCACAGCCACCAAGCAGCAGGCAGGCTCAGCTGAGCTCCGGCAGCGCGGACGCCTCGCGGCCGTGGCGGGGCTCTGGCGCCCCCCGGTGGCCGGCTCGGGAAGTGCAGGCCTCGGAGGCTCCCCTCCCGTCGTCTGCCTTGCCCATAGTCCCAGACAGTCTCTCCCTCACTCAGGTGCGCAAGTCTTTTGCCCCGGGAGTGTAAACTTATATTTCGTCATCACTCTGTTCGGCGGGGGAGTGCGATGTCGCAGGAGCCGGGGTTTGCAGCCAGAGCCCTTGGGATCCCGGTCACCTCCTAACTGTGTGGCCTCGGGCGGGTGAACTCTGAGCCCATTTCCAGGGGCAGAGGGGACAAAACCAGCTCTCGGGACAGTGCGAGGGTGGGATGAGACAGTGCAGCGATGCTCCGGAACCAAAAAGGCCCCTGAGGGGCCGGTTACCGGAGCCTTTTCCCGTTTGGCCGGCTTTCCCTCAGCCCCCAGGTCCCTGCCCACCCGACACTCCCCGGTGCCCCGGCCCACATTCCTGACGGGGCACGCCGGCTTGTTCGCTGCCCCTCTCCAAGCAGAGCAGAGTGTGGCGCAAAGGGCCCTGGTCCGCTTGTCAGTCCTCCTTGCTCAAGACCCTCCCCAGCTCCCACCCGCTCGGCCTGGGTCCGCGGAGGCGTGTTCATGCCGAGCTCAGGGCCAGCACGACCACGGTGGGACGAAGGACGCGGGCAGGAGAGTCCGCCTCCGAGGGACTCCCACGGTGGAGCGCCCGAGTGGGTGGTGCTGCCGTCACTGCCTCTGCCACCGGCCACCACCGATTGCCCCGGGGTGCTGAGGGCTCATCCCGCCCACCCCAGAGCAGGGCTGAGGCTGTGCAGCAGTGACTGCACATTTGTGTGTCTGTCCCTCAGAACAGACGGTGACGCCCACTGACAAAGACACCAAGCAGCCAGGGATAAAAACAACTAGTGTATTGATCTGGGGAGGAGAGAGGGGTGCAGATGGGAAGTGGGTAGCAAGGGGATCCTTAGTGTTTGCCAGAAACCACTGCCACACACCCTCCACCCCCTCTCGCCATCCTCCCATGGAGTGGGCCTTGCAGGCTCTCACCCTTTTAGTGAGCCTCCCTCTCGCTCCTCCCCTGCATGCACTTGACCTCACCTTCGGTGACTGGGCAGCCCCAGCCCGGCTCTGAAGCCGGGTGAAAGCTGGCTCAGACTAACGTTTCTCCCCCCTTCTGTCAGCCCCCATCTCCTTCCCATCTCTTGTCTACGTGAAGTATAGGAAAAGCAAGCACAGCTGGTACCCGGGGGAAATCAAGTCACCCCGGGGCTAGGGGCAGGGGTGGGGCTGGGGGTGGGCAGGCAGAGGAGCCTCGACCAGGCGGTCCCCGCGCCCCCGACCCTCCGCAGGCGCCCGGTTGTCTCCAGGGCCCCCTCAGCATTCCCATTGCCCTCTTCCATATCCCGGTCTCAGCCTCCTTCAATAACTTCCATCTTGGTCCGAGGAGCCTCGACCAGGCGGCCAGGCATGCCGGGCTGACGGCGGCCAGCCCAGGGGCCCAGCTCGCCCCTGCTCCCTTGGAGGCTGGCCGGGAAGGCTGCACACCTGCCTCAGGCACCATGTTTGTGGGGTTTGGGGTGGGGGCAGCGGGCAGGGCAGAAAAGCAGAGACTCGGCTCCACAAAGGCCCCCCTGCCCCGTGGCTCCTGGAGGGAGCCGACTTCGGTTTAAGGCAGATGCGGAGCTTCTTGGAAGCAGGAACAGTGAAAAGCGAATGGAGATAGATGCTATTTTTTTTTTTTTTGCTTGTGTTTTTCCTTCAGTATAAAACCACTGTAGAAAATAACTTCTCTTAGAAAAAAAAACAAAACATAGAAGAAAAAACAAAGGGGTATTTTCTTTGGCTTGAAGCCCCTCCCGCGAGGTGCAGGGAGGCGGTGGGCATGACCGCGGAGGAAGCAGGAGGCCTCCGGCCCACCCCGGCCCGGCAGGTCCCGGACTACATGATGCTGCAGTTCTGGGGGCTCTACGGGAGGAGAGAAGGGGAGAGGTGTGAGCAGCAGTGCCGGCCCGAACCCGCTCCCCGCCCCCCAGCCGCAGCCCTGCGCCTGCCCTCCAGTCTGGGGCTCAGACAGGAGGGGCAGGGGCAGGAGTGGACTGACTGCCTAGAATCTGGGGCGGCAGGGGGAGGCTCCTACTCCCCCGGGCTGCGGAGGAGAAGGCTCTGCCCCCCACAGGGCCACCCCGTCCTAACCCTCGAGGACCAGGGTCCTCTGCTAGCGGGCTATGGAGGCAAAGGGACAACTCACCTGGGTTCGGGGTCTGGAGTTGCCCAGGAGGTAGGAGCGGGTGACCAGGTTGTCCCCGAAGCTGCCACCCCCACTGCCCCCCACACTGCGGTAGCTGCGAGTGACCGTGACGCTGGACGCGGAGGAGGCAGAGGAGACGGATCCGCCCACCTGGGCTCCCGCGCCGCTTGCGGACGCCTTTTCGGCAGGCTGCCCGCAGGTCCCGCACAGCACGGTGCGGGAGCGCAGGTTGTACTCGGCGGGGTCGAGTGGGAGCCCTGGGGAGGGAGACAAGGCTCAGGCGGGACGGCGAGTCGGGGACTGCCTGCTCAGCCGAGCGCCCCGCTCCGGGCTCCTGTGGGCCGGGGCCGCCGGGCAGGACGGCCGGGCTGTGCCGAGGGGCCGGCGGGTGGCCGACAAGGGCCTGGGAGGCTGGACTGGCAGGGAAGGCAGGGTGGGCAGCAGGGTCAAGAAGACCTGGGCAAGGGGGCGGGGGCTGTGACGCTGTCCTGGCTCCTCTGCT